GGAGTGGCTTCCTGCGTTTGTGACTTATCTGGAAGGAAATGGAGTATGAGGACTGGTGATGGTTAATGGGGTTCCAAAAAACTCTTGGGGTGGATAATCTTTATCCTAATAGGACAGAGGGTAAAAACTACGGAAGGAGGTAATTCAGGCAGAGAGATTATTTGGATCAGTAAATGATTGTGGATCATGAGGTTGTGGGTGCTTAGATTAGCAGATGATCTTATTGGGGCTGGCAGCTTGCAGATTCTCCGGAGGCGGTAACTGTGTTTGTAGCCTGAGGAATCAAGTGTGCTGGTTCTCTGGGAACAGCGATCCAATTTCGAGATCATTCTGGCTTGGGAACCAAGGTTGGGATTTGGGCAAGATAGAACACCAGTTTTCAGATTGTCCAAGAGTAGGGCCAACTTCCGGGGATCATTTGAGAAAGAGTGACCACCAGTGCTGGTCACCTAGAGAAAGCTGACTTAGTGGGAGGATTATCTGGGGGGGACAGACGGGAGCCCCTAGATCAGCGGTTCTCAACCTGTGGGTCGCGACCCCTTTGGCGGTCGAACGATCTTTTCACAGGGGTCGGCTAAGACCATCCTGCATATCAGATATTTACATTATGATTCATAACAGTAGCAACATTACAGTTATGAAGTAGCAACGAAAATAATTTTATGGTTGGGTCACAACATGAGGAACTGTATGTAAAGGGCCAGAAGGTTGAGAACCACTGCCCTAGATTCATGGGGTTACTAAACATTGTAGCTGAGGTGGCCTTGAGAGACCCTTTCTGACCCGCCCCCCCCCCTCCTTTTTACCAGTTCCATATTTATCAATCAACCAAGTATTTACTAAGTGCCTCCCCAGTAGGAGGCACTCCTGAGGGGCTGAGAACACATAAGGAAACAAAATACAAAATTCCACCTGCACATGGCTGGCATTCTAGTGTGTGTGTACATATGTGGGGGAGGAGACAATAAATCAGTAAATGCATATATGATATTATGTCAGGTATATGCTATAAATGATAAAGCAGGGGGAAGGGATATGGCTGGGGTGGGGAAGGGTGATATTTCTGGCAGAGATCTGAAGAAAGTGAAGGAGCCAGCCATGGGGTTATCTGGAGGGACAGACTACCAGACAGAGGGACCAGCATGAGCAAAGGCCCTGGGTGGGGTGGGACCATACCTGATGCGTTTGATGCCAGAAGCAAGAGGGAAGAGAGCGGTGTGGCAACCCAGGCTGGCCACCTCTCCCAGGTCCTGGAATGGGGGACTGGGGGGTGGGGAGGGTATCTGACCTGTGCACCACCCTTCCCAGGAGCTGGCGCTGTCGGGTCTGGAGCTCCCGGGCACAGTGGAGTCGGTGGAGGAGGCATTGAAACAACACCGGGATTTTCTCACCACAATGGAGCTGAACCAGCAAAAGATGCATGTGGCCGTGCAGGCGGCGGAGGGCCTGCTGAGGCAGGGCAACATCTACGGGGAGCAGGCCCAGGAGGCTGTGGCCCAGCTGTTGGAGAAGTAGGTCCCTCAGTCCCAGGGGCAAGGGGAGGGGTGAGGAGGCCAAGGTTCCGCTCCTTTCTACCACAGCTTCTGCTTCTCTGCCCCTTTCTGATTTCTATTTAATTCTATATTGCTTTTAGATTTTATTTAAATTGACATTTTGTGAAAAGGTAACTAACTGGTGGTTGTCAACCCAAAGATACAAGAGGATATATGATGAAAAGTTTCTCTCCGGAGCCCTGCCCTCAGCCTGGGATAGCTGGGCTGGTTGTGAGAATGTTACCATATCTTCCTGGATGCCCCAAATCGGCCCTGCTGTTCTGGCCCCTCCCTGGGAACCCGGGACATCCCCGGATTCCTAGCTCATGGCCACACACAGGTCCTGTCCCAGCTTTTCTGATGGGACGGTGTCCCCTGCTGTGCTGGTTGTCAAATATTGGGAATGAACATCGGCTGGTTCTCTAGGAAGTGGTATGCAGAGTGTGTGTTTGTGTGTCACCATCTACCTGTCACCGCTGCCCTGTCTCTTGACTGTCCTTGTACTAATCAAGCAAAGACATTTATTGAGCATCTACTGTGTGCCAGGCACTATTCTAGACCCTGAACAAAGCAAAACAAAATCTCAGCTTTCAAGTAGAGTCCTTTATAGGGTTTCCTCCGGACCCACTTCCTTGTCACTCTCACTGGTTCTGCCCCTCCTGGTGACCCAGCTTTCCCCTCTCTGCCCTGATCCAGGCTGGCAGAGGGCTCAGCGGCCCTCCTAGTGTCTTCTCATCTCTTTTTTTAAAAAAAATATTTTTATTGATTTCAGAGAAGAAAGGAAGGAAAGATAGAAACATCAATGATGGGAGGGAAACATTGATCGGCTGCCTCCTGCACGCCCCCAACTGGGGATCAAGCCTGAAACCCGGGCTTGTGCCCTGACCTAAAATCAAAACATGACCTCCTAGTTCATGGATCGACTGATGCTAAACCACGGAGCCACACCGGCGGGCATGTCTTCCCATCTCTTGATGGAAAGCACACCTGTTTACCACCATCCACACCCCAAGGCCCAGCCTCCTTTTCCAAGGCTGGAGCTTTCTGAAGGAAACTTTTAAGGGGATTCTGGTCCTGAGGCCGAAAACTCATGATCCAGTGTCCCCCACTCCAGGCCTGACCCTTCCTTCGTCTCTTGTTTCTTTTTTTTGTTTGTTAATCCTCACCAGAGGATATTTTTTTCATGCTTTTCAGAGAAATTGGGAGGGAGGGAGAGAGGGAGGGAGGGAGGGAGGGAGGAAGAGAGAGAGAGAGAGAGAGAGAGAGAGAGAGAGAGATCAGATACACATCAACTGGTTACCTCCCACCCATGCCCCGACCAGGTAGGGGGGGGACCCCCACAACCCAGGTACTTACCTTTTGGTGTGTGGGCCGATGCTCTAATCACTGAGAAACACCTGCCAGGGCTGTCTCCCTCTCTTTTTTTAAATATATATTTTTATTAATTTCAGAGAGAAAGGGAGAGGGAGAAAGAGATAGAAACAGCAATGATAAGAGAGAATCATTGATCGGCTGCCTCCTGCACGCCACCTACTAGGGATTGAGCCTGCAACCCAGAATCGAACCCAAAACCCTTCAGTCTGCAGGCTGACGCTTTTTCCACTGAGCCAAACAGCTAGGGCATGGGCTGTCTCTTATTTCTTGAGTGTCTGCTGTATGCTGGGCCCTGCAGAACTGAGGAGGAAGAACCTGAAGGATGGTCATTCTCTGCTTTACTCTACATCCCTTTTCAGTCATTAGTTGCTCCTTTCATTCTGTTGTTTATTCATTTATTCTTCAGCCAATTAAACAGGTAGAGTCTGTACTGTGTTCTGGGCCCTGTGTGGGGCAGAGCAGTGACCAGTACAGGAGACGATTCCTGCCCTCACAGAGCTCGCCCACTGTCTGACAAGGATGGCCCAGAGTGACCGGGGCCAGGATGGGAGAACTGCAGGGGGGCTGTGCGAGCCCAGAGGGTGCATCTGCCCAAGGCTGGTGCTGGGTGAGGCTGGGAGCACAGCAGGAATTGAGACAGACCCAATTCTTGCACCCCTCCTCCCAGCTCCCAGTTATTTACTGGTCTAGGGATGCCTTTCCCATCAGGTAGAAGTGATAAAACATCCACTCATGGAGGGAGGTATTACTGTCCACACACAAAAGTGGGGCACAACCATGCAGAGCTGGGGGCTGGGGCCCTGGGTTGAGACAGAGTCAGATCCTAGTCCCAGTTCCGCCCCTCAACCTGTGAGATTCTGGGCAAGTCACTTTGTCTGTGGGCCTTGCCTAGCCTGGACCCTGGCCCAGCCTGGGTGCCAGGTGCTGTCCTTATCTGCATATTGCACATGAAGCTTAGAGAGGGTCATTAACTTGCCCAAGGTCACAGCCAGGAAGTGGCCCAGATGAGATTTGAACCATGCCATTTTTCACCCTCCTGGAGGTTTTCCTCATCCTGAGGACTGATGGTTGACATGTTGACTGGTGATGGCCTGGAGGGATTGATTTCAGTTCATTTTCAGAGGCATTTGATCGACTTCTGAGCTGAGTCTGGGCATGAAAAAGTCAGTCCTTTGCTTGTTTGTCTCTGGCCCTTCCTATACTTTCTTCCAACTGTGCCCTGGCTCTCTGCAACTTTTTCTCACCTGCTCTATCTCCTGGCCTCCAGCCTCGATCTACCTGTGTATCTCTGTGTCTCTTTCCTTCTCTCTCTCTCTCTCTCTCTCTCTCTCTCTCTCTCTCTCACACACACACACACACACACACACACACTTTACCTTTGTTTCTGTCATCTCTTTCTCTGTCATTCATTCATTCATTCATTCATTCATTCAACAAATATGTATTGAGTACCTACTGTGTCTCTCATTCATTCATTCATTCATTCATTCATTCATTCAACAAATATGTATTGAGTACCTACTGTGTGCCAGACTCTTTTCCTAGGCATTGGGGATACAGCTGTGAACAAAACAGACCAGAATTCCTGCCCTCATGGAATGACATCCTCCTGGGGGAGAAAGACAAGATAAACAAATAGCATATACATTGTGTTCGTGTTAAATGCAAGGAAGAACCGTAAAGAAGGAAAGAAAAACAGAAAGTGTTGGGGAGTGGTCAGAAAGGCCTCACTGAGAAGGTGACATTTGAGTAAATGTCTGGGAGAAGAGCATTTCGGGCAGAGAGGGCAGCCAGCGGCAGGCCACAGGGTGGGAGTGGCTTGTTCAAGGCGCAGTGAAATTATATGTGCCCAGCTCCTCCATCAGGCCTCTTGGGCACTTTGTCCTATACTGTGGCTTGGGGCCTGTGGCCTGGGGGCCTGGGTCCAGTCTGGTCATTCCACTCAGGCAAGGGGTCTGCCCCTCCTTGCTGGGACACCAGAGCACTCTTCCGGTAGATACAGCCCCTTTTTCCACAGGTACTGTTTTTCTTTA